CTAAACACGCCACTGACGTGTTGGTCTCGGTGGACGTTTACAGGACCTCGGTGAGGTGTTTCAGCTGCTGCGGGGTGTTAAGAAAAAATTAACTTTCCTTTCGGACCTCCGGGCTAAATCTTTTCCCACGGGTCTTACGCGTTTCCGAACGACTTAAACGCGGTAATTCGTTTGCTTACCCTACACACCCCAGTCATGCTCAGAATTTTACGCGCCAAAAATACCCGACCACTTATACGTGCGCACGCGTCATTAATTGTTCCAACGCGTCGCATCGCCGTGGGGCAATAAAAATGTGCGTCGTAAACACCCGCGTGCTGCAGTGCGCTCGCAACACGGGGGGGGGGGGGGGCTGAATCGGAATAAATTATATCGTTCGGTAAAGCGCGTGCGTTCGGTTTTAGAATAATTTTTCCGAAAGCCGTTTTCCGGCGGGCTGTTGCTGATTCATCCCCCCACTCCCGTCGCAGGAACGCCACGGCGAGGTACGGTTTTTTATCCGTCGACGATTAATCATCGCGTTATCGCGATAATGCCGTGCTTGCTAATCGCCGTTTCGTAGCCCCATCCCTATCGCTATCCGAGATTATCAATCGGGTCGATTTCAACGCGATCGTGATTCTTCGGCGAAAGCGTTTATGATTTAATCGAAACGATTTGGGTGGGATGCGGGTGCTTTAGAAAATTATTAGTTCCGTGCACCACAGCAGGGTTTCAGCAGGGCCGGCGTTAGAGGGAGACAAAACGGGGCATTTGTCCAGGCCCCGCGCTTAAAATTTTAATAGCAATATATTTTGTGTGGAAATCTCATAAAATAAAACGTGAAACGCGTTGAGATATCTGTTGGCATATGACAAAACTAATTAACAAAACAATATTTTATTATATTTAATACGTCATAAATGGTACGCCCAGGGCCGGATTAAAGGGTAGGCAAAATAAGCAATTGCTTACGGCCCAAAAAAAAATTCGGCCCATAATTTTTAAAATCAATTTTGTATGTATTAAAAATAAAGTTTAAGAATTTTTTTCTCATGAGTAGTTATGAATTTATAATTTTATATTATGGTTATCAAATTTGTTGTAAACTTGTAACTGTGATTTGTATCAATTATTTCGTTATTCCAACTAATGTTCCAAAAATATTTCATCATATTAATTTACCTTTATGATGTGATCAGTACTCAGAAGTTTATTAGTTTAATACTATCGCGACTCGGGTTTTACCTAAAAATAATATTAAATAAACAAAATTATAATAATGATGATATTTAATATATATATATATATATAGAATTAATAATTAAATAATGTAATAATAAAGAAAATTAATATCAGAATTCAAAATTTTAAATGTAGATTCAGATGTAAATTATAACTATTTTAATTTTATTTGTGATACCTAATAAATAATTGAAAATAAAATAAAATGTTTTTAAGTGCATGAAAATTATGTGTAGGCCATTTATATGAATGTGCTTACGGCCCTAAAAACTATAATCCGGCTCTGGGCACGCCCCGTACGGTATGAAAACGGGATACCTAGAAAGTTTATCATATTACATTTCTAAATTTTAATTAGATACTACCCGATATGGCGTGCAGCTGTCACCGAGTCTGATTACATATTATCGTATTTAATTACGACCTAGTGATTTACAGGTGACTATGATTATTAGTAAAATAAGTTTTGTTTGGAGCCTCGCAAAGGGTAGTGTTGATTCTGCGTTTCGGGAAGTGTCTGCACGACGTCCGTGAGATGACCGGTTGCGTTTGTCAGTAATGCCTATTGGTTGCGATCGATCTAATCGGGGACAACTGGTACAGCTCGTGTCAGTTTGGGAATCGACTGACACCGAATCGCGTTGCACCGGTATTGCTTGTGGTTTTCGATTCGAAATCGTATTGCACCAAAACCGTATTGTTTGCCGATACGATGTTATGAACGTATTGAAAACGTGTTATAGTTATTCGAATCGCTGCCGTTCGGTGTACGTTTTCAATTAATTTCCAAACGAGACAATGCGCGGTTCCGAGGACGGATTTAATGAAAAAAATATATTTTAACCTTGTGGAAAAAAAGCGCATCGATCAATTATTTATAAATGCCTTAGATTTTTCGCTAACGATTTCGAAACGGAATTCTTTGTTTTCAAATATCTTCAGCGGTCGGTTTTAAAAATGCGATTGACAGCCGTATCATGGCAGTGACGACAGTACGCGCGCCTGTCTAGGAATTGTCTTTCGGAGTGTGAAAATACAAAAACACGTCCGGAACGTTATAATACCGAAGTTTTATTTAAAATTTAATATCCATATTGTATTTATGTGTAATATATTCGTATGGTTTACAAGGGAGTACAAGTATCACGATATTATCAATGTTGCCGCAGTGCAATATCCAAATGCAATATTGATCGTATTATTATTATCGGTATTATTATTTTCATGGTACGTGTGTTAATGTGTTACTAGCGTTAATGTAAGCTGTTATTAGTACAACATTGAACGTCATTGTTGTCGATCAACCGATAAACCGTGTAATTGCGACGTGAATGCTTAATTTATAGAGAAAACGAGGTCAAGACGAAAATAGTATACCAACATGGGTTAGTTTTCAACGATCCACCGATGATCGTGAGTATCGAGTCAGATATAATAACAACTTACGAATAGTTTTGATGAAATTATCTTCAAAGGTTTTCCTAACTTTTGTGCAAGAAAAAATCTTTGCGAATACTTTATAATTAGACAGAGTTGGTTAAGAAACCACTATATTAAAATTAATAGCGGTTTTAATTTTTCTTTTTATTAAGTTATAGTTCGGATGAAACAATTTATGACGTATATTTTTAAATCGAATTTTATACTTGTATCACGCTTACCTATAACATATGCGAGTTAGGCTATGATTTATTTTTTATTCTGTTTTTTGATCGCGAAAAATGTCTAAATATCGACACTTGAATATTTATTATGTTGGTATATTATATTACATACCAGTAAAATATTTATTTCCATCAACCACAATCAGGGTTTTTCAAAATAATTATTTTTAAACATATATCATATTTCTAATCTAAATGAGAAATGTATTTAATTGTTTTTAGTATTTCGAAAGGGTTCTCGTATCGCATACAACTTCGGTATTAAATATATTTTTAACTTACTAACACTGTTGCAGAATATTTCCATCTCATATTCCGCGATAAAATCATGATTTATACTTGCAGTTACTATAATTATTTCGAGTTATAGTTATCACATTTTTCATGGAATCAATTTAATGGATAAACATAGTTGCAGCAACGTTGTACGAGCGAAATGGGTTGTCGGATGACACAAATGTGTTCATAAAATATGCAATACGCTGTGCCGTGCATAATTAGCGCCAGGGGCCAAGAATTATTTTTAGTGACCCCACCCCTTTACTGAATATTTTTATATCTATAGGCTACAAGAAGACTACATAAAAATAGGGGTTCTATGTAAATACTTATTTTGTATTTATCAAACGAATAAGAGAAGAAATTGACGTTTTCAATTGACGAATGAAAATGAATGACGGATTATGGTTACAAAAAATAACTTTAACCAGGATCACTGAACCAGAGGTGGAACTAGGCATTTTTACGTTCTATCATAGACCAATAATCAAATGCTCTTCTCGAGAATTTTTTTTCTAATTATTAATATACAATCATACTTATTGATTTTGAACCTAACAACAGTTTTAAACAAAGTTAAAAATATCAAATCAGTTGTTAATAATTACAAAAATTACCCCCTCTAAAATTTTACGCCCGAGGATGAATAACCACTCACTAGTTCCACCCGTGCACTGAACAACATATGTTTTCTTCTCCTCCCTCGGTTCAGATGATCATATACCGCGAGCCGACTCGCGATTGAGTTGATGACGGACTTCAGGACGGATCCAAGAACGATGCTCTGGTGTCATTCGGAAGCGATCGGTGCGTCGAACATATGCGCTTGGAAAACCTTTTCGTTATTAGAGACCGTCGGATTTTTATGGTTCTTTATTCTATTGTTTTTTTTTTTTTTTTTTTTTAGAACACAAATTAAATTTTAAAACAAAATCATTGTGAAACGGCACACTTTCTTTTGTTTCGTCTTAGGATGCGTAATTCAGGGAAACCGAGTCTGCCGGCAAAAAAGTGAAGTCTAGTCGATGTTTCTCGTTAACCGTCCGCGCCGAGTGGAATGAGTGTCGATTCGAAATCACATCCCTTATATGTAAGTATTGGCGTTTTTTTTTTTTTTTTTGCGGCTATTAATTCGTGCCGAAAGCAGTTAGGATTCGTAATTTATTCCCGAACCGACGTGTATGCGCGCGGCAGCCACACATCGTACCATCGGTGCGTGTCGGGAAGCAGTATTTAGTATAAGTGTGATTAATGGATTTCGGGATTACATAAATCGTGTTTTATTTCGACCATTTTCATTAATTTTTTTTTTTTTTTTTGGTCCAAAAAACTTTACCGCTCTCTTGCTCGAGACGAATGGAAACCCGTAAAAATTAACGATGGGGGAAAAAAAACTGCTCTATTTAAAGCCCCGAACGCGCAATAACCTATCGTCATGAACGTCGTAAATCGTTTCTTGCGTGCGACGGGCTATTCTGGTGTGAAATACGGAACGAACCACTGAAATGGTGCGAGCAATGGACAACTACACGTGAACTGCGAACACGGAGTGCGACAGTTCCCGACAGCGACGGTGGTGCGATCGCACGTATTCCGATCGTTAAAATAAAAAGAAAAAAAAAGAATCACTATATGCATTTATACGCGTACAGAGGAGTTTTACTGTTAAGCCCTACGAATGCGGGCGCGCTTGACAGTCGGAAGGGAGGGGGTGGCTGAAATAAAGTCTTCGGCAATATAAATAAACTCACTTTTTATTTTTACGACTCCAAGCTAGACGTATTATTGTAGTTATTATTATTACTATTATTATTATGCTAAACCGATACTTACGCCATTCTGTTTTACCACCGACAGGTCTTGTACGACGAATTTGTACCAAATGATCCACGCGAAATTGTTGAGCGCCAGTGACAGGAACAAGTGCACGTGTATAGCGATCCTGGTGCACCTCAAAGTCCTGTGAACATGTAACGACATCGCGTTGGGACAAATGATTATTAACTTTTTGACGATCATTCGGTTTTTCAACAGCCCACATAAAGGGTCTGGTGAGCAGCGAGCAGTTTTTCCTCCGCTCGGCGCATATATACTACTTTGCGACCGTGGTCATATCATACGCATTCGGAACGTCTGTATCGATCGGAAATCGAACACCCTGCTCGATAACCTACTTATACAGTAAACAAAAAATACGATCGTTTCTCCAGTTTCAGAGTAGTAAAAAATCTCGGGAAAACATAAACTGCTAACACCGTGGATTTAACGTTAAATCGTTTATATATATATATATATATGTGTCATCGATACTTCAAATTCTCGATAATATATAATAATACTCCATTGTTTTTGCGTCGATATTTGTCATTAAATCAAAATGTGACGATTTACATTTCATATATTATGCGTGGTGAAAAATAAACATCCGTCAAATTCCATTAAATTTATCCTTAACTTTTATTTTCAACTTTTTGACTCTGAACACGTATCACGTAAGACCAAATCGAACGGATGTATTTAACAGGACTAAGAAAAAGTGTCTACCTAAAACGATTCACGTCACCCCTGTTAGTCATACGCAGTACGGTGTGTATAAATGCGGAAAATCTGCACTTTCGCTCGTTCATCAAAACAAATAAAACGTAATAATAGACCCGGGAAATGTGTTCTCAGCCTAGTGATACCATCATTTATACTGACGACGACAGTTGGGCTCTATATTCGCTTGACTGGAAAGCGAATCGGTTTCTTATAGGTAACGAATTACACTGGAACGTTATTATTTACGAGCTCAATTTGTTTAGGATAACTTTCGATGCGTATCATTGCGTACTACGGGCTTTCGGAACGACTAATGGTCAGTTTTCCGGGCTTAATGTCCAGGTAAATCATAATTTGTTTTGAACCGGATAACACGGATGTGGTAAAATATGCTCGTTATTCACAAATTTAAATATGAATCAAAAATATTTGGTAATAAAACATAATGGGATCATACACATAACGTAATTAGTTAAACGATATACGTACCTATGTACATATGACATACTAGTATATAAAATGAGATTGTATAATGAATGATTCATATAAATATAATATCTTAACGGTTTTGTCGCAGATTGTATAATGTTAAATGTTTTTCTTGCCGCAAACAATTTTTAGAAAACGATTAATTTTTACGCAATTTACATATAGCCTTCAACACATCTAATACTTAAAAATGATTATATATCTCAAAAAATATTTATCGCGTTATTTAAATCTGCATGGAAAATATCACGCAACAAAATATTGGTACAAACAAATTGGTCAAAGATGATACTTTAGTAAGATTGCATTTCGTTTAGTATCGGATATAAAAGATTTCATCTCGATACTAACATTAAATTAGTCCCGCTAGTATACACATTGCTTTTGATAATAAAAGCAATTTCGTGTTTAATGGCATACAAATTATTTGCATTACTAAAGTAACCTTAGGGCATTTTGCATGTTGATGAGAATTCAAAACATTTTACCCGCTAATTTTTTATTAACCTTTTATTTTCAAATGTACTTTGGTAGATTAAAGTAGGTACCGAGTTGCAGGTCTTCAATTTAAGAACATTCAATTATTCAAATACGCAACTCGTTTTGGTGCAATTTATATACTGAACAAAACCGTTTCTCGAACGTTGCGATGGTTCATCGTTGATTTCAAACGCATTACACAATAGATACGCACTACGTACGTGGCACTCAGTAACTTATCGGGTTTTAATTGTTCTATAGAAAACTCCCGGGACACATTCACGTATACGTATAAAGTATTCACATCTAAAGTGCATGTTTTGATTTTAAAGAATATAATACATTTATCAACTTGCCAAAGTTCTGGAGTTGAATGACTAATATCGGACTAGTATAAAAGAAAACCGACCGACGGTTTATGGACTGACCTGAATACACATAGCTCCTAACTTATTTAAGTGTGGTTTTCCATAAATAATTTTTTCGTTTGTTATTATGGTACGTTTTTATTTTTATTTTTTGTTTTTTCGGGAGGCAATATGTGACAGAGTTCGTATTTTTCGGAAAATCCTTTCGTTTAATTACCCGACGAGTCCCCGTACTATTGTTATTTTTTTCCCAATTCCGGTGATTCGTGCTCTTGGATGTCATAGAATACATGCGTTTAAAAATATATATAAAGGGGTATTATATCGTTTACATAATGATGTAAAGTGTACAGTGAACGCCGATGTAGGCGATAAAGTGATAAAAAACAACAATAAGTACTCGTATACTTTATCGTGGACGGGTATACCGCAGATTAATCATAATGATAAATGGTTGATCGTAAGATGAACGGCTGCAACATTCCGTTGTCATCCAGTTTGCACTCATGTATTTATTAATATCTAAGCATAGATACACATACTATTAAGTTGTGTTATTAGAAACAAAAGCCCCCCCCCCCCCGTATGAATACGAGACCGAAATGCTCGGTCGGCAAAAGCTGTACGATTTGTGCCGAAATACTGATCATATTTGAAACACTACGTATTGATTGATAGGTGATTTAGTTATTTTTCATTTTCGACTCGTGATATCCTAAAATTAGGGTTACGATAAGGATTCAAATTTAAAGAAAAAGCTTGTTTTAGGTGTCCCTCGATAACTCTCTATTCCCTTGCCATATACTTGTGTATAATTAAACTCAAGATATTTTCATAAGATCCGCAGTTTCCACGTCCTGTTGGTTCATTTCGCATACATACAGGTTAGTACACACTGGTACTCTCGCTGCACACTCTATCCCAGTAAAGATCAAAGTTGGTAATACTTTCTCTTTGTTTGTACCGCAGCAATTTGTCGGCAATAAGTATTTAAAAAAAAAAAAACCATCTACGTAAGATACCACAGGAATCGATACATAAACGCTTACTACTCCATACGTGTGGCGTGTATACGTGCTCACACAAAACTACTTGTTCTCAATACTTTTCTGGAACATTTTTCGAGCATTCCCGTCACGTTTTTCGTTTACACGCACATGGATGGGCGCAAAAGTTTGAGTATGTAAAATGAACCGTCTCGCACAGAGCGGCTGCGGAGGAATCGGTCGAATGTTTTCGGGTACACACGCGATCTACGGTTCGCGTGCATAATAAACCGTATATATTATACCGTAATATTATACCGCGGGGCCATCGATTCGATCCCTAACCTCACGCGCTTCAGGGAACAACCGCGACGCCGAAAGAAGAGAGCTGATTTGGCCGAGCGAAGGATTCAGCCGCCGCCGCCGCCGCCGCCGCTGCCAACGCGTTTGAAAAGGTTAAAATGTATTTTACTTGAACGTGAAGAAAATCAGCAATGACGTGAGCAGAGCAGCCAACGAGACGGAATAACCGACGATGTACATGGAGTTTATCAGTTCTCTAAACTAAAACATAGAAAAAATAAAAAATAAAAAAAAAAAAACAGGAAAAAAATACGAACAAAAAGGCGAAAGAAAAATGAAAAAGCCTCCACCACCGCGGCGTAACTCTGATAACTATCGGAAAAAATGTATCCCGTTCACGTCACTCGATCGTTTGTTCACGCCGACGTAATATTGGGTTACGCCGCGGTCGGGGAACGTTCGTTTACGTGTGGCACGTACTCACCTCTAAGTCGTCAACATCCACGCAACCGGTGTAATTGGCCCACTGCCTTCCGGTCTCCGGGTGCCTGTACCACGTGCCGTCCGGCAGACATTCCTTGAACGCTTTTCCTGCGAAGGACGAAACAAATATTCGATGAAACAGTAATGTCGTTTTCGGTTCCAGGTTAGGTTAGCGTTTTTTTTTTTTTAGCGTTTAAAAGTTAATTTTTTTTTTTTAACACTACGTGTTGTAACGATTACCCACAGTTAATAATAATAACAACGATGACGATTTTTGTAGTAATACGACCAAGATGTGACGCGCACGTTTAGATACGATTAAAAAAAAAAAAAAAAAAACGATAGATACAAATTTCCATGCGTTCGCGATCTAAAACATAACTTTTGATTTCAGTTACATTGCAGTGATGTTCCCGTAGAGCACATTGTATACTCTCAACGTTATTTTGAAAATTCGTGATTGCACTACGTACACCTCAAATCGCAAGCGCTTCGTGAAAAATTATTAAACGTAATTAGTGTTAGAGGTTTTAACTTGGACATCGTTTTGTAATAAACATTTAATTTTCTCACAGACGATCAGTATATCGATTGTATACAATTATGATTGACGGCAAGCAATGTGTGTTCCGATGGTATCTATTTATTAAGATAATTTTAATTTCTGTAATAAATACATTAGGATGCGTTTCAATTTTTCGTCAATATTTACAGCCCTTTCTCGCCACTACTGTGTAAATCTTAAAAAATGTTCATACACGTCGGCGTGTATACTCTCAGTAAAATTGACGGAAACGTCACTGTCTATTAACACCGTTTATTAGTCTTGAAGTAATTGAATGTTCTTAACTGGGTGCATTCTGTTAGACAAAACGTTTTGAAACGTATTCGGAATCGAACATTTTATTTGAGAACATGAGATAAGGAAAATAATTTTTTAGGTTACCGTGGCTGAGACGGAACATTGATAAAACGTAACGTTTTTTTCGAATCCGGTCTGTTGGACGTGCTCCGCGGAGCTTCGCGCGTTTTAGTTAGTATACTTGTTGTTCGAAAATATTTCTATTCTTATAAAATAATAACACTGTAAACGACAAGTAAACGTAATATTTTCAAAAACGTAATGTGTTGTTTTATGTGGTGACCCAGAAAACGAAAGCTGCTGCGATCAAAGAAACAAAAAAATAAATAAATAAATAAATAAATCGTCCTGTACGTAATATTCACAAAATTTTCCGTGGCGCACAACTGCACATTTGCGCGTTTATCCCTAAGTCGCATGTTTACCAAAAACGACATTTCTCGTGGGCAATATCATAATAGATAGGCACACACGTGCGCGCTCGTGGGCGCAATGAAAACTGTCCAACGAGCCTCGTCTTAAGTAAAAGTAATGTGTGCTTTGCTAAAGTAAACGGCGCACCTATATAATGTGCTTGTATAGGTATTTATAGGTTTATATCGAAACCCAGTAGAACGGAAAATTGCGTTCAAACGGATTCTTTTTTTTATGGTCCCGTTTTTCAGTAACGCTCTTATCACTATCTATAACGTACGTGCACGTCATACTGGATGCATATTAATATTAACCGCGCGCGTGTGCAAAAATCCGATTCGATCTCGGGTTTTTACGATCCGTACATTTCACAGGTACGAGCCGTTACACTTGTTATACGTTTTAGTTATAAAATATCATTATTGTAATAGTAGTCTGTCAGAAAATCCTACATTTTACAACATTACGATCGTTATCGTTTTCGTTGTGCGGCAAAACGTTACCGACGAACGGTTAAAGTTCAACAATAATTAAAGGTTGTATTATAATATGATTTGAGTGAAGTATTAAAACGGGCACAGTCGTAGCCAAAAGAGTGTTTCAAATGTAACTGTTTTGTTTCAAAATTGGATTTTTTTTGGAAACAACAAACACATTTTACGATTACTAAATAAAAACCGTTCGCATGATTGAAAATTAATAGTTATCAACATTTGATTTAGTTTTTTAATAGGTTAAAATTTGAAATCTTCAATAATGTTCGGAAATTATTTTCATATACGTTTCCAAATAATTAATAATCGATATTAATATATTCTTACTAACGCTATGAATTGATATAGGGAATCGTTTAAACTATCCGATGGTTCTCGTGAAAATCATGATCAGCGATTCTTGTCAATTATTTACAATCAATAAATACTCATTTTTTCTTTTCTACTAATGCGACGTAAGATTAAACGTGACATTTGCAATTCGTTACATTCACGTATGAATACATTATAAATTAATAAAATTATATATAACTGCATATAATCAAGAAGAACGAATAAAATAAAAAATTCGGGTAAAAGTATAGTCCGTTAGTCCATCGATCAGAATAGTAGCATAATAGCTCAATCGGAACGAAATAATATAACGCCGGGAATCGGATTTCGGTGGCTTTGTTCGAATTGAAACGTTGCCGGTTGTCACAACGTTATTATCATGTTTTGCATTGTTCGTATATGACACGTATATAAATATCCCATTTCAAGCTACTCTATCTTTGTTGTATAAAATTTAAAATAGATTTTCTGCAATTCACTGATGCTACAGATTGTAATGAACCGCTTTGTCGGATTACATATAAATTATATACATATAAACAATATACCTTTATCTTCATGATAACTTATCATATTTATGGTTTAACTATACTTTAAGTTATAATTATATAAAATGGTCAACGAATTCATTTTTATTGCAATGATAGTTATTCCAACGTGAACAAATTGTTAAGATATTGGTTTTTATGATCCTCTGATAGTCCAAATTTTCTGCTAAAAATGATTTACTACGTCAAGATAATTTACAGGCGCAAAATCTAGTGAACATTTCTAAAAAGCTGACAACATTCTCTATAATTACTAATTGTTCTAAAAATAAAAAATTTGCGTAATTTTAAGTGTCACTCTTTAGAAATTGAAAAAACCGTTAAAAATCAATGCTTTTTTCTTTTATATTAAATAAAAAAATTATAATAAAAAAATAAATAAATTTTTGAACTTTTATATTAGTTAGAGGTACTTACATTTTATATTAAAAATATTGGAAATAAAAAAAAAAAAATACGAATACTACATCAAAATATTTTTTAAGTATATGCTATAATTCGATGAGATATGTATGAAAGTAATAAAAATATTTACTAAAAAGCTATACTGTACACTTAAATTTGTACTTGGACGGTTTGCAACTCTGTATTAGTATTTCTTTTAATGTGTAGATAATTATTTAATTAAAAGAATACATTAAAATATGTCTAAAATATTGAGTTTTGACCGCGTAAAATTACGTTTCGGACCACTGTGTGATGTCGCGTGAAATATGTTTACGCCTTTCGAGCGTTGTACAACGTAATATATGTGCGTTGGAAAACGCAATAGCACTAATAACACAAAATGAATCGTCTACATTTTAAGTTCACTGCGAAATTTCAACGGATCACAAATATAATTTAATGAAAATGTGTACAAAATATACGGTCGAATGAAAAATTATCATAACAGCAACACGACGTGTGTGTAATATTTCATATCGGTAGGTAATATAATAACCACACACAATACACATAATGTATTTTTTTGTTGTTTTTTTTTTCGTATTAATGTTTATATATGTATGCGTATTACGCGGAAAATAATAATAATAATAATAATAATATGATTTGTATGTGGATACGGGTAAAAAACGCATTTAATCAAAATGAAAATATTATTTGTTCAAATCCGAAGGCGTACGGATGTTACTTGAACAACACAATGGATTATTTTTTTTTTTTTTCCCGATAAATCAACAGAAAATGTTTGAGTGTATTTTTAAAAATTAAAATTAACACGCGTAAACCTTTTTAATTTGAAATCGGTATGGACCGATCCAAGCCCAGCGTTTTATATAGTATATCAAAATAAGAGGGAATCGACATTTCAATAAGCGAAACAATTATTTTATTTTTTATGGCTCGTGACTTTTATAAAGTAAAAAAAAAAAGAAAAGAAAAACCATGATAATGCTGTTGTTTTTGTAATACGGATGACGCGGAGGACGGAATTCGTTTCGAGTTATGTAAACATCGGGAATATTGTTCAACCAACAACGAAGAACGATTTGAATAATATAATTATATACATGTGCTAGTGGATTAGAATAACGTTAACGATTGCCGTTCGTCCGTCGAAGAAATGTGTTTTCAAAATAATTTTGTTTTCGCGCAACGTTGTTAGAGAGAAGAAATTATAACATTTTATCGTTACATTGCGAAGAGGCATATATAATATGAGTATTAAGAGTTGCTAGTACACACCTTGTATTATTGAAAGTCATCTTGTTTTCTGTCTTAAAATTCGCATTTTTTTCCCCGTGCCGTGCATTTTCATTAACGTTGCGTTTATCAAACCTTTTTGTTCGTGGAGATGCAAAAAATGGAGTCCCAAAAACCAGAAATATCATTCATTTTAGAATATGGTTTACAATAAAATAGGTACCAATCAATGATTAGCCTTTTGGTTTGTTTCTTTATAACTCGCCAGCGGCGTATAAATACGTAACATTTAATTTATTTAAAAAATATTTATATACAAGTATACATAATATAAATATTACACTACACTTCCCGTGACTTGATTCGATTAGGTTTTCGATTTAATTGGATTTCGAATTATCGGGGAAAAAATAAATAATACGAATCAAAGAGTGTTGAACATCTTGTATTGCATAAATATTTATTATTATGTTAACGCAAAACATATTAACAAAAAACGTGGGGCAACGTATTTTTTTCTCACCTGCTTCCCTATTTGAACTGCCGCGACCACTTTTTATGGCGAAGAACAACAAACTACAAATACTTGTTGGTACTCAATTTCAAACATAAGTACTACGTTTAACTCAAACACGACAAGTGTTGACTTATTACTGAGGCTTATAGTGATGATAAACGATAAACTATGCGAATACAGTTGATAACAGCAATTTGGAAAATTATAAAATACATTTAAGAACAGAAGACTACGATAAAATAAACCAAACCATGATTGTATACGATATTGTAGTGTTTCCGGGTACTAAAAAT